AAACATGTTTGTTTTTCATCCAGTTGGTAGAGAATCCAGAAATTTTACTTTAGCAAGAGGAGAGATACTTTATAATAAAACCACTCAAGTGAAAGTACAGCGTGGTAAAAATACTCCTAGAAGTCAATTTCTTCAAAAAAGTTACTCGAGTAAAAGTAAAAGTAAATGTAACTGCCAGTTGCTACTGCCCAGCTCTGCTCACATAAAGTGTGCGGTTCGGCTGAAGGCGTGTCCGCTGCCGCAGAGTCTCCGCCCTCCGGATCCGGACCGGCTGCTCCTGGATCTGCCGCTCAGCCTCCGCTGACTCCAACAAACTGTTTGCTGCCTCCAGTCGCAGCTGCGGGCTCGCAGGAGTGGAGCGGTGGATTTTGCTTTAGCTGGTCGGGCATGACTCTCTCCGGTGGACATCCTCTCTGACCAGCACTTTGTGTTTTGGCGAACAGGAGCATCCAGAACCACGTCGCGTCTTTACTGAGGTTTTCTGAGGAGAAGCGGGTCGCCACAGACAGACTGAGGTTCGGCTGCGCCTTGAGGTAAGAAACGGCTCCCCGTTTCTGAGTTTAAAGTTTAATGCTTCTGAGAATTTAAAGGGGATTCTTTCTCATACTTTGTTGGAACAAGTTGCGTCTTTCCCCCACCTTCAATGACTTGCTGAAAAAAGTGACGAAATGAATAGTTGGTTAATAAAAAAAATAGCTCTACATGAATGTTTCGGGTCCGTACAGACTCAGTTCAAATCCTTCCTGTTTTACCGTAAACTCGGTGTTTCTGCGTGGTGAGAACCCGGGCAGGAGGCGCTCGGTCCGGTCCGGAGCGGAGCGCCGTGCCGTGCCGTGCGTCCGTCTCCAAGCTGGCACCCTTCCCACGGCGGATCAGCCCCAACCCGAAGAGGCTGTCTGCCGGGACGTGGGGGGTCAGCAGATGGATGCCTCTGACGGCGCTACCTTTGCTGCAGGGCAGAACTTCACTGTCAGTTTGCATTAATCAGAGGGATGCATCATCCAAAAACCTCCGCAGCCTCTTCCCCTCTGTCTTGTCAGATCTCCGCTGAAGCGAGTACAATGCGTCCTGTGAGGAAAGAGAGAGAAAGTCAATACTTTTAAGGACAGAGTCACTTATTAAACATCAGACATGTGACTTATCCAAGTGTCCAAAGCCGCTTTATTATAAGGAACTAACACAAAGTTCAAATTCAGAATACAATGCAAAACAAAAGTGTGAAAATAATTTCAGTACTAATGGTTTAGTCAACAATTAGCTACACTGTGTCTAACAGAGAACATTAAGGGTTGTATGAATCATATCAACTAATTAAGAGTTTATATTTAATTTGGAAAGCTTTTGAATTTAAACTTGTATCATGTTACTTGGACCGGATTTGCACTCGCTCAAAGCATGTCTGTCCCAACACACTTTGATACGCAGGTCCATATATGCTAATTTTGGGTTTAGTACCTTAATGTCAACATGTCACAGGAGGCTGGAATCAAACCTACAACCTTCCAATTACCAGACAGCTATCCCACCACTGATCCACATTCACCACAAGTTTCCACAGCAACAATGCTAGCACTAGTAGTACAGTTTAAAAATGGTTTTCAGGGGATAGAAAAAGTTTTAATAACTTGTAAGAATGGATTTAAAAAACTTGAAGTGGGTTAGCAACAATGCTACTGCTAAAGCAAAAATATCTAGCAAGCTTTGGTTCTCAACCCTGAGGCAATGAACAGAACCTAATCTGCTGTCGTTATGTTAGGATAGCTGAAAGGCCTGCAAGCCATCTTGTTAAAATAGATTTACTGTATTGGTGTTGAGCTTTAACTTGTAGTTAACGACAACGCCAGCTGAGGACAAATTTAGAAACGTTCACCAGCATTTTATCACATAATCATGTCCCTATATGTTTCTTTTTAACGTGAAGCTGAGTTAATTACCTACAATTTAACCAGTTTTGCTCAAAATTGGTTGAATTTAATTTATTCAAATACCTATCAGCTGTTTTATTTTATGTAATTTATGACCAAAATGCTGATCAAAATGTGTCCAATTCCAATTACTACCCCCAATTTTATTGATTAACTTCTCCCTGTTTTCGTCAGGGTAAAACAGTGATATTTCTATATTCCACTCAAGCATTTAGTCTGGCTACAGTAACTGCTAGGAATTTGGATCTAATCACATTTTGCCCCAGGAGATTGTCTCCGAGGGACTCATTAACACACAGCACTGTCCATGGGACGCCTGGAGTTGGGGCCCTGCAGCTCCCTGAGGTTTGCATGTCAGAAGAGAGGAGAATCACATCACAGCCAGTCCGTTTGGACACACTGACCGACAGACAGACAGACAGACAGACAGACAGACAGACAGACAGACAGACTGTCAGCGCTGCTGCACTCACGCATCATAATGAGAGAGGAGCTCTGCTTCCTTCTGTTCTTTGCTATTCTTTAGTCTAATATCATTATTCCTAACCAAGTAAAAAGAGGTTGGTGGAGACAGAAAGAAAACAGAGATCTGCTTGTTCACCATGTTGCGGGAGAACAATTGCTTTGTCAAGTAAAGGGGAAAAGATAAAGAAACTGTTGAATTGATGTGTTTGGAGCAGCTGCCAACACGGATGACTAGACTCTGCCTGCAGCTTTTCTCTCCTCCGTTTGTTAAAAGAATATATATGGAAAAAGAAATAGTTTTTACACAGTAAACATCAACAGCTGCATTAGTGAACTGGTGCAGAAATTTATAACGGCGACAAAGAAGGCTGTAATTAAACGGTTCAACATTTCAGTTGATTCCAGTGGGGCTTTTTCTCTCCACCCGCCCACACACAACACCTAAGGTGTTAATAGTATCCCTGTTAATATGCTGCTTTTGATTTACCATTTACATTACAATGAAACAGAAACACATCGTCAGGATGTGATGAGTTCAAAGCTGCCGTTTCATCCAGGTCTGTGTGAGCCAGCCTGGCAGCTGAAGAAGCCGTGACACCACCTGACCTGGCACAGCTTTAAAGGCCTGACGTTAATCAGCCAGTGGTCTCTCCTTTCGGCGTCATTTCTCCACTTTTTTCCTTCTTCAGCTGGCATGATTGCAGATGAGGTGGATCTCTCTCTCTGGCAGGACATTTGACGCGACTTAACCAGATCCTCTCTCAGCTTTCTTTCCTTGTTTCCACTTTGTCTTCTGTTACTCCTGACTCCACTGCAAAAACACAGAATCTTACCAAGTGCTTTTGGTCTACAGTGTAAAGAAAAAATGTCTCTAATTTACAGTAAAATACCGGCATCTGTGGTTGACGAAATCTTACCGTATAAATATGGTAAAATTCTGAGAAATTTGGTAAAATTATCTTCTGTAAAATATACAAAAGAGAGTGTTTTACTCTCTTTTGGTATAATAAATACCATTATTTTACCAATAATGGTAAAATATTGGTAAGGGTAATATTTTTACCATATTTGGTAAAATATGAAATATTTTACCAAATATTTTATATACAGTAAAATTATGCTGGTATTTTACCAGCATAAATTAGAGACTAATTTACCATAAATAAACAGTGTAGTTTTTAGTTCAAATATCTTAGTTCACTTGAAATAAGACAAGCAAGTTATAGGAGCTTATTTTAAATCCATAACTCCTTAATATTAATGGAAAAAAAATTCTGGTTCTATTGGCTAATTCTTTCACTTAAAACAATGGAAAAATGTCTTGTTATAACAAGACATGTTAGTGAAATAATTTTGCCAGTGGAACCAGTATTTTTTCATCAATACTAAGAAATTATTGACATAAAATGAGCTGCTATATCTTGCTGAAAAATACTTGTAAGTTATTTTTGTCTTATTTCAAGCAAACTAAGATATTTGCAGTAGAAACTAAAAATACTTGGTAAGATTTTGTGTTTTGCTGTGTGACTAAACATGCTAGAGCTCTGCCTTGGTTGCTAGGTAACGGGCTGGGCTTCCCTGGGGTTGCTAGGTAACGGGCTGGGGTTGCTAGGTGAGAGGCAGTTGCTCAGGAGGTTTTAGAAATGACTCATTTTCCAGACAACAAAAACATGAACTAATAGCCAAAAACAATTCTGGTGTTTTTTAAGCTTGTTAAATAAGTTAGTTTGGTCTTATTTCCAGCAAACTAAGATATTTGCACTAGAAACTTGCACATCCTCTCTCATCCGACTTGCAGAGGACGTCTATATTCACACCGAAGCCTTTGGAGCACCAGAAATGTGTAGGGAAAACAAGACAGGGTCAGCGCTCTGTTCGCTTTCTCCCTGAATCATCCTCTCTGCTCTACAGCAGCAGTAATCCACAGAGAGCCACAACTAAACGGAGCATCTATTGGCTCAATGAGAAAATAGCTTTTTTTTTCTTTTCTTTTTTCTCGATTGCAAGAGGACCCTTCATTTAATGTGTGTGGTGCACACGCCTTGGCCCGTAATGGCTTCAGCATCTTTGTTGTCGAGAGACAGGAGAAAATGAAATTTGCTTTTCAGCTGGCAGAAATAATTTACTCTCTGAAAGGTGTGTTTTTCATCAGCTGTACAGGAGCCAAGAGATGTGCAAGGTCTGATACTACAGCCTGAGCGCTTCGATGTGGCAGCGCTTTTCTTTATTGATCAAAGCTTTGGCGTTGTCGGGCAACTGCCTAAAAAGTTGATTTAAGTTGTTTGTTTATGTTCACCCTTTGGTCTGCACACAGCAGAGCTACACAGGAAGGGTTTGTGTCTGAAACAGTCCGAAGAATGTCTTTAAAGGGAAAAACTTTGCTGCCTTGATTTAAATGGTGTCTGTTTTTATGTTGCATGTTGTCATGCATCTTCCATCAATTTACCAGATCAATTTACCATCACTTAATATAAAAGTAAACAAGATTTTCAGATCTTACAGCAGACTAATAGATCTTATAAGCATATAAACAATAGCGACAAAAACTCAAATTAGAGTAAAAAGTGTAAAAATTATTGGAAGAAATTAAATAACAGCAATTTCAGCATATTTATTTACACTGGAAGCAGTTCTCTATTTTAATGTTGCAGTACTGTTTGATGACAGCAGTTCAAAAGGTTTGAGGGTTTGAATATAAACAGAAGGCAGGGACACTAAAGAGCTTTTCAGCTCCCCTCACCGTCCCCTGCAGGATCCTCTGGGCTGCCATTGTGGAGCTACAACAGTTTGTCAACATACTAGAGTTTCCCTGAGAACCCTGCAAAACCACAAAATCTTACCATGCATCTTCCATCAATTTACCAGATCAATTTACCATCACTTAATCAAAAAGTAAACAAGATTTTCAGATCTTACAGCAGATTAATAGATCTTATAAGCATATAAACAATAGCAACAAAAACTCAAATTAGAGTAAAAAGTGTAAAAATTATTGGAAGAAATGAAATAACAGCAAAATAACTTAGTCTAGTTTCTAGTGCAAATATCTTAGTTGACTTGAAGTAAGACGAAACTGACTTACAAGTAACTTTTCAGCAACAATACAGGTGTTTAAGTCAATAATTTCTTAATATTGATGAAAATACTTATTCCATTGGCAGATTAGTTCACTTATAATAGGTGGAAAATGTGGAACTAGTTCTTGGTTGCTAGGTGACGTCCTAGGCTTGGCTGGGGTTGCTAGGTAACCGCAAAGTGCCCGTTGATAGTGGCATAAGTGAAATAATCTGCCTGTGGAACTAGTATTTTTTCATCAATATTAAGAAATTATTGACTTAAAACTTGTACTTTGTTGAAAAGTTACTTTTAAGTTAGTTTTGTCTTATTTCAAGTGAACTAAGATATTTGCACTGGAAACTTGACCAAAAATACTTGGTAAGATTTTGTATTTTTGCAGTGAAGTCGTCTAGTTACCGGAAAGTTACAATTTTTAGCTTCATTGACAGATTGAAAACTCAAAAACTTGATATTTTACAGATCATAGAATACACCACAACCAAACTCCACTAAAATTGAAGGAAGCACATTGACGTAAGAAGCTATTTACAAGGAAAATGTATTTTTTGACATGTAGAGGCATGTTTGTGGTTGATTGTATGGAGAGAATGCAAGAGAGAGCAAGACTGAGTCATAATCACTAGTTAACGGCTCTCCTACTCACACAGTGTGACGTCGCCTCTTCTTCTAGTGCAAATTATTACTGATACCTCAAATTAAACACGTTGAACTTTTAAATCAGCATCAACAGGTAAAATCATCCACCAAACTCTGCCACAGTCGCTCTACTGTAAACCAGCCTGTGTGTTTGCCTCCATTACCCTCATTAGCTGACATGCCTGAAATAATAGTCTTCCATAAAACGTGTCAGTGCTTCACTCAGGCATTTATCAGCCGTGTGAGTATAGATCATTTTCATTGCTGCCGTTGGAGCCTTTGTGTGTTTGGCTGAAATGTGAGCACATCTCAAATGAGATCGACCACAGACGTTATCCTGGCACCATCTTATCTGTGAGCTTTTCATTTACTCGCCTTCGCTCAGAGCTCAGAGAGTTTCTCCCGGCTCCTTTTCTCCCTCACAGGTCTCGTCCTCCGTTCGCAGAAACCTCCTTAATGTCTTCCTTCCTGTTTTTAACTTCCTTCTAAAATTATTTATTTCCAAACTTTAGGGGAGATTGTAATGACAGACTTATTCAAAGGATTTTAGGAAGCATGTAAACAGAAGAAAGTCCGTCTACCTAGAGGTTTACTGGTTAAACGATTCAAATGTTTCTGACAATATGTCAGAGTCACAGGAGTTTTCTGCAGCTGTGCACTGGCAGTTGTAACAAAACCTGAAAAAAATGCTGCGTTGGCAATTATAAAAAAAATAAAGTCACGTAAATAGAAAAAATTAAATACAGGATATAAATATCTGGTTTCATCTGTACATGAAGGATTTTATTTTTTGATTTAAATGTAATCCAAAGTCCTTAAAAGCACAAAAACACATCATTTCTGATTTTGGACCCTTGAGCATTTGAAGCATTTTGGACAAATCTTACACACTGCAGGACTTCTGCTTTTATAATCTGTTTTAGAACATATCTAGGCTTCCACGTAAATCTTTATCCGCTGCTTGTCTCCATGAGGGCCTGGAAGCTGAGTGACCCAAACACGGGGCAGCTCCAGAGTTCACAGGGGGCAGGAAGCTGAGGGGCCTCGCTTCCTTTTTATCAGGAGGAAGCAGGATGGCTGTTTGTGCTCAGCCCAAGAATTCCTTGTGCTTATCTCGCATTCACGCCTTTTCCCCTTAATAACGGCTGGGCTGAGCAGGTAATGAGGTAAAAGGTATGTATTCGACAAGCTGCGGCGGGAGATAGCGGACCCTCCAATAGGCTTAGGGTTCGGCTCCGGTGGGGGGAGGAACGCTCGGCTCCATCTCAGGATGCGACGAACGATCTCGAAGTTTCCCCACAGCCATATTTTCCTTTACGTATTTTTTCCAGAGCTAATAAACCAGTTTACACAGGTATCCATTAAAGGCTGAGGTCACTGCACAGAGCGAGCGCGCTCGGTAAATCTCAGGGGTTTTTCCCGTAAGGATTCTTCATCACCTCATGCTCTTTTCATCCCCAAGATGTATTCAAAGCTCTGCGAGGGGCTTAAAGCGGGCCAGCTGTCGGGATTCGTGACACGGGTCTGACGTGTGTGTGTGTGTGTGTGTATGGGGGGGGGGGGTTACCTGCCCGGCTTCAAGAGCTTTAGACGACCCAGAAATTATAGTCCAGTAAGAGCAGCAAACATGTTTTTACTCAGGTAAAAAGTAGCTATCCAAAAACATATTTGGTAAAAAGTAAACTCAAGTCCTGAGAAGCTAATCAAATTATGAATCATTTAATATACATCATCAGATGTACCAGAATATAAAGTCAACTGGAAATTTAGGCAATTTATAGACAAAAATGACAATAATTCATTTAGGTAGCAAAAATTAACAAAATTGGGCAAAATATTTTTTTCCCAAATCCCTTCCTGCCAATTAAAAAAAAAAAAAAAACTTATGAAACTTTAGCAAAAGCTGCAGGTGTGTCTGTGAAGTTTTGGTTAAAACATGTTTGTTTTTCATTCACTGGGTAGAAAATCCAGAAATGTACTCATAATAAAATTACTCAAGTAAAAGTAAAAAGTACAACATGGAAAAAATACTCCTAAAAGTACATATTGTTTTCAAAAAAGTTACTCAGTGCGAATTACTTTTTTTTCCTTCCTCTTTCTGTTTTCATGAACTTAATCTTTTGTGTTATCCTTTTTGTACTTTGGTGCAGTTTTTTTAAAAGTGGTATATAAATAAATTTGACATTCACATTGACTCAAGTAAATGTAACTGAGTAAATGTAACTAGTTACTACCCAGCTGTGGCTCTGATGCACTGAATGGCGCTGAAGTTTGGGCGCCGCAGAGAGTAGACCACGTTCCATCTGGTCCCTTTAATGATTTAAAGCAGTTTTCTCAAACTGTGGTCCGCGAGCTGCTACATGTAAACAACCGTTTGTTTGCCAAGATGTGAGCTCAAAGTGCGACGCTATAGTTAGCTTACCAGAGGATTGTGTTTGAAAATAATAACGGATAAATGGCTTAAGACTGGGCTACTAAAAAGAAAACCTGAAGATACCAGTGGAAAGTTTGTGAGGATGAGCTGCAGAATCGTCGTTTCTGAACACTGTTACGATACAAAGCTGTGCTGGGTTCTGTAGGCGGAGAACAGAGCTGCGCCCCGCGCTGACTAACTGCATCTAAACACCAAAAATAAAATTATTTATGTTGGACTACCTCCTGGCTGAAGGGTAATGTTTGTTTTTTCCAAAGCAACTCAAGTCTGTTGTCCTTTTATTATGCTTCTAAATTAAAAATGGCAGCAACAGTTATAGTCAGGAGCTTTTTTGATGTGTTTTCTATGATTGGAAAGCTTAAAATCCATACTGTGAAAAACTCAAAACGCTTCATGGTTTTTTTGTGGCTAGCCACATTTACATAACCGCGCCACCCTTCACATTAGGAGGAACAAGACAACATGTTACGAGACTAATACTTTAATTTGTTGTGTTATTGTTGGGGGAATTTCCAGTTGAGTGTTTGTTAAATGGGATAAGTGGTCCTCTGCCTGAAAAAGTTTGAGATTTAAAGGTAGAAATTGATTTCTTTGCAAAATTTTGAATGTTTTTGCTAAAGTTTGCATCCTTCTAAACCCAGAGGTGAAACAATGTGCAGGAAAAAGCTTCTCATCTCATTGTTCTTATTTGTTTTCTGCACTGCTTAACACTCAGCCTTCAATATTCAAGGCCCTATTAGAAGTTGCTTCTTGCTTGTCTTTGTTGCATACATTAACTGGTCTCCATTGTCACATGATTTATTTATTACCCAATATGGAGGCTTGTGCTCTGCTTATGAACTGACTGAGAAGGGAAAATCTATTTGCAGAACCAATAATATAGTTTCCTGGATTCACTACAGCCTCAGTAGTTTAGTTCTTGGTTATTAACACATGTCTGTGAATAAGCTAAAACCACCTAGAACAACTCTGGATGCACCTCATGCTGAGTTTTTACTTCTCTTTTTTGGTGAAGGTGAAGAAGATAAATAGTGACTGTTATTTCATTGGACTCTGGATCTTAGAAAGCCTACATGGAAATCCCAGTCTAATGAGATTAAAAAAGAAAAGGCTTGGAGTTGGCTTTTTAGCTTCTTTACTGTAAACTTCTGTATACACAGACAGAATAAAAAGTTTGGGAACCACTGAGCTAAATAAACAATGCAATGCATAAATAGAGTTTTAAGCTTTTCTGGGCATGAAAGTCTCCCTTTCTGCATGTTTTCTTTAGTCTCTGTTCATTGTTGCCCTGCCAAAAAAGAAACAGTAGAAACTGCGACGCTGCATCGATGCTGAACTTGACGGGTCTCCTGCACATCCAGGCGAGTCTTTGCTGGCACTAATGTGATCTCAAGCGTCTGTTTCCTGTCCAACGTGTTTCAAATTTGCCCTGCCGCTGAACTCAAGCAGCTAGCCGCTAATTCACCATGAAATGATCTCCAACAGTTTATGATTTAAATAGTTTTAATCAGACATCATGAACAGTTTTTCACTGATGCGCCGTTTGCAGCAGTGTGTTGGCTAACTTCCTGTCCAACCAGATGTTGCTGCTGGAGACGCAGCTCGATCTTTGGAAGCAAAATTCAGAGGTGTCGTTTAGCGATCCTGATCAAAGATTTATCAAAGATTTTGTGACGATCCTGGTCATAAAATGACACTGGAGGATTCATGCAATTCAACGCGTCTTAAGTCCTTATAAACGTGTATCATTTCATATCGGGGTCAAAATCTGCTGATGATGCTTTCAAAGACAAGAGCATACTGTCTGTTGTTGAAAAATATGTCAACAGCAAATATATGTGCAAAAAAGTATCAGAGATCCTTTATTAATCCAAAGGGAAACTCAGCTCTCTGTACTCAGCTCCTTGTCCGTCTCTGATGAACTTTAATGCTCTTAGCCTTTTTTGTTTTCTGTTTTGTTGCTTGATAGTCTGTAAATCCTTCATTTGGTAAAAAAAAAAATGGCGAGATCGACTTTATAGTGTATTGTAAATGTAAGCACAATCTATTTCCCCCCAAAACCTGGATCAAAATATTCCATCCATCTTCTTTACACCCTTGTCCCTCAGTGGGGGTCAGGAGGTGCTGGTGCCTCTCCAGCTAACGTTCCGGGTGAGAGGCAGGGTCACCTGGACAGGTCGCCAGTCTGTCGCAGGGCAACACAGAGACAAACAACCATGCAAACACACACTCGCACCTAGGGGCAATTTGGAGAGGCCAATGTTTTTGGACTGTGGGAGGAAACCAGAGTACCCAGAGAAAACCCACCATGCAAACATGCAAACTCCATGCAGAAAGACCCGGGCTGGGAATCGAACCCAGAACCTTTTTGCTGCAAGGCAACAGCTCTACCAACTGCGCCACTGTGCAGCCCCGATCAAAATACTAATAATATTTATTTAAATTCAATAAGATGGGGATCCTCTGAGGAGGGAAAAGGTTTGTGAGGTTTATGGGTGAATAATGAACATTTTTGTGTCACATTGTGCTGATGTTGTCTGGCTGTTTGTGAGGGATGGCACCGGCGCGCTGCTTGGCTTTGAGCCGTTTTTACTCTCGCTGTGACTCACCGGGCCCAGAGCGTCGCTCCTCTCCTGACTCGAGCGTTTTTCACATAAATTGGGGCTCTGTCCAAGCTTCTGGCTTTTTACTGTTGCATCAGCCGTAACTGGGTCCAACATTTTCTCTTTGTCCCTCCCTGCCTGGACTCTCCTCCACATTCCTGTCTGAAATAACACTAACCATGAATATGGAAGTGCTGCTGTAACTATTTACATTGACTTGAGTAACTTTTTTGAAAATATTTTCTTTTATGTGTATTTTTGCTCCCCTGTACTTTTAATTTTACTTGAGTAATTTTATTTTGAAGTATCTCTACTTTTACTTCAGTAAAATTTCTGTTTTTTCTTCCCACTGAATGAAAAACAAACAAAATTCACCAGAAACAGACAAAGTTTAATAAGTTTTATATTGGAAAAAAACTGATTTGGAAAAATTATCTTTTACCCGATTTTGTTATTTTTCATCATTTCTATGAATTATTGCAGTTTCTGTCTTTAAAATACCAACATTTCCACTTATCTTTATAATTTGGT